AATGATGTGCAACCCCTAGAGCTTATAATACGAGCAATTAGCTTTTGCTCGCGGCTTTGCCTGTGTAAAGACCTATTGATATTGTAGGCACACACATATACACATTACACATACTTCCTTTTAATACTTTTACATTTTTGATTAAAACCTTTTTATTTAAATTATATTTTTGACAGATAAGAATAAAAAGTAGGTAGTAGTGATATTAAAAAGGCTAACAATTATATGTGTGTTATTTTAAACTGCCTTATTATATTAATAACTGCCTCGGTGGTGTAGTGGCTAGCATGTACGGCTGCACACCCGGAGGTCCTGGGTTCGAGTCCCGGGTCGGGCCAAGTTTAGTTATTGAGTCTTCCTGTATAGTAAGTCTCAGTAACAGCCCGGAGTTGGGAAGTTGGCGGTGTTTCACCCCCGTGCCTCGGAGAGCACGTAAAGCCGTCGGTCCTGCACCTTAACTCTCACCGGTCGTGTCGAGCGGTCGTCCCACCGGAGTATGAGAGTGATAGGAATAGAGAGTGCACTTGTGTCTGCGCGTACACTTGAGCACTATAATATCTTCTGCGCAGTTGGCTAATCTCATTGAGATTGGCCGCCGTGGCCGGAATCGGCTAGGAGAACATCACAATATAAAAAAAGAAAGTTCCATAAATAACGGCATATGGTGCACGCCAGGGAAAAAACGTAAAGGAAGATGTTGGTGTGTTTGTGAATGGTCATAAATCACTATTTTTAAGAGAAAGCATTAAAACAACTGTTGTGCAGAATACGTCCTTTATTTCCGATCTCCGAACTCATAGAACGTAATACTACTTAAAAATTGATTTAAAATGCACAAGACATCCATTCAGAAATATCTTTAATATGTATTATTTGCGACTTTTTCAAATCTTTACATATTTATAAAAATTAACAGTTATAGTTAAAATCATTCGGAATCTGAAAACATTATATTCTAACATAGTTTCAAAGTATTTAGATGTCACAGTCGCACTATATTGTTGTCAACATAACAAATACGGTAATTAAACAAAGCTGCGCCCTCAAATCTTATGACTTCTTTCCGCACAGATTCTACTGTCCATTTGTGCACAGTGTCGTCCACACTAAGCGATCTACGTCTAATTGATTAACAAGCGTTTAAACACGAATGATTTTTGTGATGATCATAGGATAAATTATACTATTTGTATTATAATGTAGCGCTGTTGAGAATTCTAAATACTATAATTTCATACAATTTTATCGAAAAAGATTTTTAGAGATTTTTTAAGATATTTTCCCGCAGTAATATCCTATATATTACATATACCCGGATAACCAGTTATCATCACAGCAAATTTCATCAAAATCTGTCCAGTGGTTTTCTCGTGATGCGTTCCTAGACAGACCGACAAAAATTTTAAAAACTATAGATTGACTATTTAAATAAGATTTTCTGAAATATTTAATGTACAGATTCGACTCAGAAGTTTATTGTATGCATTTATATTAAACCTTAAACCAATGTTTTATTAACGAGTCATAATTTTGAATCTGAATAAAATTTTAATGTAGGTGTAATTAAACATTTAAATTCTAACTATATATATATATATATATATATATATATATATATATATATATATATATATATATATATATATATATATATATAAACTGATTGACAAAAGCTTTGTGACATTTTGTAACATCCATACTGTCCATACTAATATTATAATTGTTTGTTTGACTTTCATTCACGTCCAAACGGAGTGACGGATTGTTGTAATTTTGCGCTGGAGAATGGCATACGCTACTTTTTACCGTGGGAGATTATCTCATTCCAACGGGAAAACACGTTATAATATAACCCAAAAAAATATTTATGATCAGAATTACTTGAAACTTGGTATTAATGCTCTTCAATACAATTAAATAAATACGTGTTTCAGTATTTTTCCAAATTCATCCCATAAGGGGGTAAAATAGGGGATAAAAAATTGTATGAAACTAGCTTTTTAGATATTTTTTGTAGTTTTAACGCGAGTGAAGCCGCGGGTTCTGCTAGTAATATATGTATTTTATATTATTCAAACTGCACCAAATAATTTTGCATTATAAATTCTTTTTACGGTCAGATTCTGAGTGAATTAAATTTTATTTATGATTAAACGACGTACTTTTGTTTTGCTCGGGTACGTCCTTAGGTGCATTTTGTATTTATAATATTAGTATAGTATTATATGATCTGTGATATTATATACAGTTAGTTCCACCTTTTGACACTTTTTATTATTAATATTGACATTTATGTTGCTTCAGGTCATTTAAAATAGTAGTGCGATTTCTAAATTATATCTACGTAATGGACTACTAGTATTAATGCGAATGTTTGTTTGTTTGTTTGTTTGTTACTTATTACACTGTAACGGCTGGACGGATTTAAATAAAAATACAGGTAGACCTGGAGTAACATAGGTTGCGGTTAGACACCTAAGGCGCTCCTGAGTTAGAGATATTGTACTTTTGACCATATTCAATTGGATAAACCATCTACGATGTGCATATGTAGATACATATATATTTAAAACAATATACTTTTTATCCAGAGCGCAGATTTGCTAAGGACTTACTTCCACTATATGCAAAAAATACGATAGAAGAAGAAGAAGGATTAAAGAAGACAAACACATAGTTAAGTCCATAATGTTAAATTAAGAAATGTACAAATTTTAAACAATCACGACAATGTATAGAAATAAAAGAATTACTTAAAGCCAGCAGTTTAATCCAATGATAGCTCGCGAGCTTGGAAAAGATAATGAAGTGGGTCCATGCCCCGGGTCTCGCATTTCTTAAATTATGCTCGAATATCTTTTCAACATTATTACTACTTGTTATTTCGATGAAGCAAAATAATATAAGGAAACTTGTACGTATGAAAAAAAATCGTAAGACGCGTCTTCAACCCACATTATATCAGCGTTGCGAATGGTGGCATAGAAAAATGTTGAAAAAACGGAATTATTACAAAGATTACTTGAAAAAAAAAACAAAACATTATTACTTAAAAAGAATGCAGTATAATATAAGGAAACTTGTACGTATGAAAAAAAATCGTAAGACGCGTCTTCAACCCACACTATATCAGCGTTGCGAATGGTGGCATAGAAAAATGTTGAAAAAAACGGAATTATTACAAAGATTACTTGAAAAAAAAAAACAAAACATTATTACTTAAAAAGAATGCAGTACAAATCTTAAGCTGCGCGGAGTGAACGCTAGTCCCATACAATAGAGGAAGAACCATTATCAAGTCCAGGCACAGACCGCCAATACATTTACTAAATGTTAAAAGCAAAGTACAAGTACTTACAACTTTGAAACGGCTTTAGCAAAGCCATCGGCGTAAAAGTAAAATATTTCCTTTTATTCTTTAAAAATACTTCACTTTATCATTTTTATAAAAGACTATTCTTACCTATATAAATTCAATGCTTTATATATATATATAAAGTTAGACTTAGAAAATGACATAATTAAATCTAAAAATCTAACTGGGATATTAAGCCAAAACAAGACATATTCATACTCCGAAAATTATAAAAATTAGTTGACGGTTGAGGTTTTTTGACTCAAAAAATATAATACTTTATTAGATTTACGCGAATATTTGAAATTGTAAAAAAACTATCTTTTTCGGATTATTTCGCGAATTTAGTTTGATTTTTGGTTCCCGACGTTTCGAATCCTTTACAGAAATCACAGTCACGGGAGAGACTCTCCTAAAATCAAAATAAATCCGCGAAATAAACCGAAAATATAGTTTTATATAAAATTAAAAAATATATATATTTATATAGCAGCTAAGCGATTAAATTCTAGATCCTAAGATTCGATGTTGCATAACCTCTTAGCATCCTGCAATGTCGAAACTTTTGTCAAAGGTACATTAAAATTACTGATCGATCCAAAGAAAAAGGTCAGAGAAGGCATCATTATTCAAGACTGTGGTAGTAACGTGTTCTGAATTCTAGAAATGTTCTTCTGAGGTATAAAAGATTATTTTGACTTTGAAATAAAATCCGTTAGATTTTTTTTATGAACTAGTATTAAAATACATAAGTTTTAGTACAATATTTCATTTACTTGTAGGAATTGATTAAATATATTATTTACATATATTAAATATTCCCTTAAAACCCTTAAAGATTAAACTTCAAAACACTTGAAAATACATTTGAATATTTAAGAATTTTTTTGTTTGTGTATGTGTGTGCTTGCGTGCGTGCGTGAGTATGTGTGTGTCATGAAATAAGATAGGACGAAGATAAAGGCTACTATTAGTTATAAAATTTGCCAATAGGTGGTGATGGTCGTTATGTATAATAATATGTATATGAAATTTGTTTAAAGTTTTAAAGCGACGCACTAGTAAACCATATTCTCTTTAAGAGTTTAAAAAGGGGTAAAATAAATATTTTTAAGTGATTTGAAAGTTGATGTACCTTTTTACTAAACAAGTCAAAGAAACGGAAGAAGTTAAGAATCGTAAAATAAAATAAACCTATAGTCGTTGTAACGAACGTTTAAACTTATCTAACTAAATAATTGACGACACGCGACTGGTCCTACGTATACTAGTATAACCGACAAAATCATGAAAACTGTTTTTTTGCATCAATAGCTTTAGAATAACCTATATTTTATACCCTGTGAAATTTATTTTAAAATATCAATAAATTTCAAAGTTACAAACTTGTCATTTGGTGCAAGTGACGGTATTTTAAACCACACGACTGTCAACATTGATGCAAGTCGCTTGCACTAATGTAGATGGTTACAATCCACGCGGCACAAGCGTGTAAGTGACCTTTACATCAGTATACAGGTGGCGCCGCTACAGAGTTAACGTGTTACATTGGTACAAGTGCAATGATTTCAGGTTTATTTATGCAATTGTTAAAAATTACCTATTTTTATAAGGTTTATGTTTACTGTGATAATAAATAATAATCATGAAGCGTTCACGAGGTCAACTAATGATACATTTAGTAGAAAAAAAATGCAGCAAAACTAAAACACTCGAAAATTTCGAAGGTAAGAATGAATTTATAATTTTCAACACAGAAATGATAAATTACGATTTAATTTAATTGTTTGTGACTGTTTTATAAATTAAATAATGTACAGTTTATTTATAATATCACTTGCACTAGTAGACAAAGTACGTATTCTATTTTGTGTACTCGCGTATATTGGTGCAAGTGATTTTTTTTACGGTAATTTATTTATTAATAGTATAAACTTTTTTATTTTTTGATTTGATTTTAGAACCACTTAAATTATCAACATGCAGATCTTGTGAGGAATTACAGCTAATTTTGGAAAAAAATAATATGTTACGAATTAGAGAACCGGTTGATTTCAATGAAAATCGACAATTCGCGAATGAAAACTTATCACATAAGCCAGATAAAAATGTTATACTAGATATGTAAAATGTTATTTTCTTGTTAGTGAATTCCCTTTGTCTAATTTTGCATTTATATCAGTATACACGGCTTGATTTGATGATTATTGCAAATGTTTTTTAAGTATAATGATATAAGTCACATTAGTCACCAACATTTTTGACATGAGTGGGATTCAATTAAAATACATAAATATTTTACAACATTAAGTAAATGTTAGGAATGAACTACATTATTATGAAATATGTTTTTAAAGAACTTTGTTTTATTTACGTATTATCAAAATCCTAGTATTATTTACGCTGAAAACTTTCCCTTAAAAACTAATTATTAGTATTTTAAATGCATGTATATCATATGTTTTTTAGATTCTCCCTTCCCTCCGCGTGCGGAATTATTTACTGAAGAAATGTCGTTCATCAATACTGTTGTTAATTTAAACAATCCAGAAGACTTTTTCGAGGAAACACCAACAATTAAAAATTTATATCGAAATTTATCAAACAATTCGTCAGATTCTGATAGTTCTACTACATGTTTTAAGGACCAGGAAGTTTGTGTGATCGTTCATAATACACAAGAAAGAAAGTGTGAACCACAGCTTTTATCTTCACATCAAAATCTTATTACTGGACTAAGTGTATCTAAGCAGGAAAAACTTCCTAAAGATGATATTGAGAGCTTCACACCTATACTTTTACCATCAGTTTCTTTTTCATCAGCCTATCAACAAACTGAAAGCGAGTTTGATTGTTTTCCTTTAAATTCAGATTACACTGATACACCGCTAAGTAGTCCGACAAATGCAAAGACAAAAAAACAAAAAAAGAAAGATAAGGGCAGATTACGAGAAAGATACCAAAGCAGGTGGCTAAATGAGAAACGAAAATACAACTTAAACAGAGGCTTAGAATATATAAGTAGGACTGGAAACATAACTAAACAGAAAGAAATGAAAGCTCCTAGTAAATATCCTAGAAAATATGCTGAAAAAGTGGAAGAAATGGCAAAGTACGATATATTTAACAATTTTTGGACAAAAAATATCTAAGGATGATAAAACTGTAGTCGCTGTTACTTTCGATTTGCACAAAAAATACAAAGCTTACCACATGGCAATGTTAGCATATTTTATTATAAGAGAAAAGTATATTTTCATAATTTTACCCCATTTGACATGGGTGATCTGCAAGGGTATTGTTATTGTTGGGATTAACAAATTGCGAAAAAAGGAGCTGTATGTGTTTTTGATTTTATTGGTATGAGGGTGAGGGAAGGAGTTAAAAGTTTTATATTCTGGTCTGAAAATTGTGGAGGCCAGAATAGAAATAGAATGGTTCTTCTCTTGGAAATTTAACGTGAATATTACTAATAGATTTCTTGTTGTTGGTCACATCCAGAACGAGGGTGACAGTATTCACTCCGTAATAGAAAAGAAAACCAGAAATGTTTTGATTTATACTCCAGATCAATGGTCTCTTGCCTTCAAAATGGCCACTGCTAATGCAAAACCATACATAGTAAAAGAAGTTACTCAATCTTTAATTTTTGATTTTAAGTCGTGTCTTACCTTTTTTGATAACTGGAAGAAGAACTGTATTGGAGAGCTTGTGATGTGGAATAAAATTTGTGAGGTTAATGTTCAGGCCAAAGATTTATTTAAGCTCAATTACAAATATACTTTTGAAAAAGATACCTATAAAACTATACAATGTGTAAGAAGTAACACACGAACCGCCATACAAAATGTTACTAAGAAATTTGATAGTTTAAATGTAGCTTACAAAAGCTTATTAGCAATTGATAAAAAAATACAAAGATCTTCAAGATCTTTGTATTTCGACTGTAATTCCTGAGCGATAGCATTTATATTATAAGTATTTGAAAATTAGATCCGAGAATACTGGAGACCTATCTGACTAGGCTATATTTATCAGCCTTTCTCTTTTTTGTATTTTATTCCTACCACCGCTTCGATTGTTGTTTTATTTTACTTAATTAGGTGACTAAGCGATATTTTATTTTAATTAGCCAGAAAAGCCAATAATTAAAGAGTAGTTACTAAATGAATAAATAATTTAACGATCGTTCCTACTTAAGAAGGACTTGGTTTTCTTTTCGTTTTAGTAAAATAATAAAGTTTTATTTTGATTATTTAGAAAATGCGTTTGTTTCTTTTTATGTTTTTAATAACTTTGTTACTAGATATTAATAATATTTGAAAGACTGATTAATACTAATAAATATTTACTGCCCTTATAACTAGATACCTCATATTACAGTTGACGATAGTTCCTACCTAAATTAAGAATAATTGTTTCTTTTTTATTTTTAGTTCCAAAATGGTAAAACCATTAATTTGTTTGGTTATCATATTATTTGTAATAAACCTTTATTATTTTTAATATTTTGGTTTTATTTCCCGTAAACCTAATGAAATTTATGACTAGAGTATTACATAGAAAAGTAATACAAGTAGTTTTCAGTACTTAGTAAAGTGGTGCAAGTGATAAAAAATGATAAAGATAATTATTTTTAATATCACGAGCTTCAATTATTTATCAGTAACCACGGATATGCATATGTTATATTGATTTATCCTTCTATTTGCCTTGGTTTGCAAAAAAATTAGTACACGTATACTGATATAAGTGATCACTTGTACTACTTTATGTGTTTTAATATTTAAGGAAGAATAGGCTACGCAAATACAACTGACCCGATTTTCTAAAATAACAAAAAATATTAAAATTTAATTACACAGCCCTTTTCCTATAATACTCAGGTATTACATTTCAAGATTTCAAAGATTTCTGTTGAACTATATCAAAGTTACAAGCTTTAGAATGTTTGAATCGCTCTCCTGTAAAGTTGCTTTTTTGCACTTGTACTAGTATACGTAGGACCAGTCGACACGTTTGGTTCAGCTTGTAGTGACTTCATTTGTTGTCTCAGTGCTCGCGGGTTCGAGTCCCGCTGGGGACATTCATTTGAGTTATGAGCACGAACGTTTGTACTCCAGTCAAGGGTGCTTATATTTATAATATGTATGTATTTATAGTTATATACATGTAGTGCATCAACTATCTGGTATCCATAACACAAGCCTCGTAGCTTACCATGGAACTAGATATTGATATGTGTTAAAGTCCCAACATTAATTATTTAATCTATGTGCTAGGTCACATTTTTATTCCAAATAGTACCTAATAATTTGCCGAATTCGTTAAATATTTATTTAACAATAAGTAAAAAATATATTTCACATTTCTGATAAGAAAGTACAATTTTTTTCTACTAACGGTTGCGTAGTTGTTGACTGTCCCATTATTTCTATAAGTTATGGGGTTTGAAGTTGCCGGAAACACGTCATAAAATGGGGTATTTCTGAAGTTTACGTTGAGGGTTATATGAAAGGATTTATAAGAAAAACCTTTTTAGGCACAATGCCGAAAAAGAATCTCAAAAATAGAATATAATAGCTGTCGACAAAATAACAAGACTAATATTTACATAAAGTCAAACGTATATTTGACTTAGCTGTGATATTTTTTTATTAGAGGAACAAATATTGTGTTTTCTATACATATAATAAAATTCTAACTAAGTCAAATCTGTACATTAAATATTTTTTGGGAAATCTAATTGAAATAGACATTATTATCGATACAGTGAGTCCGAATCTATAGTTTTTTGAATTTTTGTCTGTCTGTCTGTCTGTCTGTCTGTCTGTCTGTCTGTCTGCCTGTCTGTCTGTTACCGCATCACGACAAAACCACTGGACAGATTTTGATGAAATTTGGTATGATGATAGCTGGTTACCCGGGTCAACATATACGCTACTTTTTACCGCGGGAAAATATCTCATTTCTAAGAAAAAATACAAAAACTGCATTGTAAGAGTATACTAATATGTAAAACCTAAGAATTAGGTTTTTGGTCATCTGAACGCGGGCGGAGCCGCGGGTAATGCTAGTTACTTTATAAATTTGTGATTTTAATAATATAATAATAATACCATATTGGCACATGAAATCCGCCATATTGATTTTAAATAATATTAAATATACACTACGATACTTGTGTCATCAAGACGAATCTAATGACGTATTAATCATCAAAATCGGTTAAGGTGTTTAATAGAAACTTTAAAAAAAAACTAAGTACTTCCAGGCACTGAAATGTAAAAATAACTAAACGGGGATTTTCATTTAGAATAGTAGTCAGATATTTTCGAAGTCGGTGCCAGCCGATGCAAAGCAAATCTAATATATTTCGATACGTAAAATACATCACAAATTGATGTATAATATTTTAATAGAGTTCATACCTAATCATATTTACTTATTAGATATGAATATATTAAAATATTATCGGCTGGCACCGACTTGGTACTTATAAGAAAAAGACATTTTTTTAAATGTACGTCTATCTGTCTGTTTGTTCTGTTTAATTGCTAGTTATTTGATAAGTAATAATTATCTTAATTATAATAATCTAAATAATATACAAGTTATCTTATTAAATCATATATACACATATTATAATTCTAATATTAATCTACTAACATTGAATGGTAACGAGGCAGACTCTATTGCGGCAATTACGTGCTTTGACTAGATATGTCGATGGAAATTGTCAAATGGTATTCTAAGTTTTATAAGTAACTAGCATTGCCCGCGCCTCCGCCCGCGTTCAGACGACCAAAAACCAAATTCTTAGGTTTTACATAATAGTATGCTCTTACAATACAGTTTTTGTATTTTTTCTCAGAAATGAGATATTTTCCCGCGGTAAAAAGTATCCTATATGTTGACCCGGATAACCAGCTATCACCATACCAAATTTCATCAAAATCCCTCCAGTGGTTTTTTTGTGATGCAGTAACAGACAGACAGACAGACAAAAATTCTAAAAACTATAGATTCGGCCTTTGTATCGATAATAATATCTATTTCAATAAGGTTTTCCAAAAAATATCTAATGTACAGATTCGGCTTAGTTACAATTTTATTATATGTATAGATAATATGATATTTGATTTAGATCTACAAGGTTCAACTTAATACTCTCTTAGATTTACTTCTTAGATCTTAGATAGTGACCATGAGTACTGTAAACGTTAAGAAAGATTAGCAAGATTAAAGAATGTAACAAAAACTTGTTAATTTATTATCCTTTTAATTATTACTAAAATGAAACGAATTTTACTATAGGACTTTTATTAAACGCTATTTTCAGTTTAGACATAAAACTTCTCAAACTTCCGCACGAATTGAGTTGTATAGGTAAAATTTTGGTAACCACTGTTTAAAGTTTGTCGAAACTTTTATTGATTTTATAGCAGACGTTGTAAAATAAATTGACCATTTAAGGTATACAAGATGAAGGTATTCCCACGGCTTCGCCCGCGTTGTTCAATTACCTATATATAATTATATCTTTTTAAATTATAGCCTATATGTTACTCTTATGTATAAGCTAATTACTATAAAGTTTCATTAAAATCTGTTCAGTAATTTTTGCATTAAAAAGTACCAATCGTCCATCCATCCTCAAAAACTTTCACATTTAGAATATTAGTATTAATCTATACTAAAGATAGTCACTGATCTATGCATATAATAAAATTGTAACTAAGTCGATGCCAGCCGACGCATAGGAAATCTAATATATTTTGATACGTAAAATACATATTTACCTATTAGATATTCATATCTTAAAATATTGTCCGCTGGCACCGACTTCGAAAATATCTGTTTAGGTATCTATTCTAAATGAAAACCCTCGTTTAGTAATTTTTTACATTTTAGTGCCTGGAAGTCGGTTTTATTTTTTGTTAAAAAGATTTTATTTTTAAATTTTTAGTGTAGACGTAATAAGCAGCCATTTGTTTAAAAAAATATATGTATTGTTGATTTTTTAAAAATCGCTCGACCGATTTCGATAAAATTTATATGGAACCACCTGGAAAGAATACCCTTTCAAACGAAACAAAAAAATCCAAATCGGTTCAGGCGTCTTCGAGTAATCGGTAAACATACATAAAAAAAAAGATTCCGACGCATTGAGAACCTCCTCGTTTTTGGAAGTCGGTTAAAAATAATTGTCATGTTACAAACACAATTTATTTTATTTTCTTATATATTTTTTATACTTTAATAGGAAAAGTCAAAACAGTTCAATACCTTTTTCTAATTTGTTTGTCAATCGTTTTTTTTACTAAGTAGCTTTTGACAAACTTTAGTGTTATTAATGAAAATGTTTAGTCAATATGTACATATAAGTTTTCCTCGGAATATGATTGTGGTAGAATTTTCACCAGAACACTAATATTTATAATGAAACATAAACACTTACATTTAAGCCTTACAACAAATAATCAATCAAAATAAAACTGCTTATCGACTACAACGTTATAATTCAGCATTTTACGACCAAATGTTTCCTGCAAAATAATAAAAAGTATTTAAATTGTTGTCGATTTTATACGCAAGCGAAATACCAAGAAATGTGCTTCTATTACTCATTTTATGAGCCACCAACGTTCAAACAACTGTAAAGAATGTAATACACTGAGTTTTCTATGTTAATATTATAAAGAGGATCGTTTTGATTTTTTGTTTGGACTGAATATGCTCCGAAACTAATAAACCGATTTAGATGAAATTTGTTGATAAGATAGTTTGAGACCCTGGAAAGGCCATAGGATAGTGTTAATCCCGGAAATCATCTCTTAAGAGAGTAAAAATGGGGCTGAAAATTTGTATAGGGTATCAATTTAGGGATGAACCCGAGCGGAACTAGAATGAGTCGCTAGTTTATTTATATATTTTTTTCTATTTTACTATGA